GGGTTTAACAAGATCAGTGTGGCTGAAATGAGGCAGCTAATGGTGAGAATCTGAGAAGGCCCAGATCACAAGGGGCTCTGCATGGCACAGGCTGTGGTGTTTACTGAGTGGGACATAAAGCGAAAGTTTTGAGCACAGAGATTGCAGAATGAGATTTACATTAAAATCCAAAATCTATAGAAAGCTCTTACAGCTGAACAAAAAAAGTACAAACAATTCAATTTAAAAAAGGGGACAAAGAACAGAAAACGACATTTTACCAGAATATAAATGGCCAACAAGCTCATAAAAAGATGTTCAACATCATTAGTCACTACAACCCTCTGCTGTGGGTCGATTCTGACTCATAGCAACCTCACAAAACAAAAAAGAACCACCCTATAGGGTTTCCAAGGCTCTAAATATGTTTGGGGTTGATTATATCATCTTTCTCTCATGCAGTAGTAGCTGGTGAGTTGGAGCCATCAACCTTTCAATTAGCCATACTGTGCCATCAAGGAAGGCAAAGACAGAACCACACTTATGAGAATAACTAAAACTTAAAAAAGAGAAAAAAATGGGAACCCTTATCCACTCTGGGTGGGAATGTAAAATGGTGCAGCCATTGAGGAAAACAGTAGCACATCCTTAAAACATTAAACAGAGGGCATCTGGCCCAGCAACCCCTAGTCCAAAGGACTGAAAGCAGAAGCACAAACAGAAAGCCAGTGTTCGTCACAGCACTAGTCACAACACCCAAAAGGCGGGAACAAGTGAAACAGCCAAACATGGCTGAACAGATAAACACACAGTGACAAAAAGGAAGTACCAAAACATGCCGAACTGTGAACAGGCCTTGAAAACATTAATGTTGAGCAAAATAAGTCAGTCGCAAAAGAATAAACACTTTATGACCCTATTTGTATGAAATGTGCAAATATAACAGACTTGCACTTATTAGTGGTTACTGGGGGTGAACAAGAGGGAGAGGGGAGACTCATTGCTAGGGGGCTAGGAGAGGCCGTAAATAGCACAGGAGGAGACTGCCCATCTTTCTCCTGCTGGTTTGAACTCTAAGTCTCTAGGTTGACAAGCTGCCTTATTCACTAGACTGCCATCAAGACAGAACTGACTCACAGGTGACCCTCCAATGGGTTTTCAGGGGCTGTAAAGCACATGGGAGAAGACTGTCATTCTTTGTCCCTAGGAGCAACTGGTGGAATTGAACCACATGCCTCTCGGTTGGCAGCGGAACTCCTTACCACCAAAGTGTCCACCGGTAGTGGTGAGATTATTTGGAATGTAACCAAATAATGAACGTAACCAAAGTTACTGTGATGCACTTGTAAACATTGCTGAAATGATAATTTATTATATATCTTTTCACCACACACAAAAAAAGAATCAAACCAACTAACAATCGCCAAAATCAAAGCAAAACAGATTCTTACATTCAAGACTACGGCCAGCAAACTTTTTCTGGAGATGGCCAGAGAGCAAATATTTTCAGCTTTGAGGGCTTTACAGTCTCTACTACCACAGTTTACTCCCACAGAGCCAGGTGAAAGCAGCCACAGACAATTCATAAACAAACGGTCAGGTGTGTCCCCAGAAAACTGGATCTACACAAACAGAAGGCCCTGGTTTGCCAGCTCTGCTCTAAGCCCACTTTCCTGTTTCCAGGAAACACCAGCACAAAGGAACAAAGCAAGCAGCATCAAGAGGCAGCACTGTGACTGACAGAAGCACCCCCACTGCAGGGCATGCCAGGAGACAACAGAAAAGAAAACAAAGCAAAAAACAAACCAGCCCACCGCCATCAAGTTGGAACCAACGCATGGCTGACCCTCCAGGGGGTTTTCTGAAGCTGTAAACTACACGGAGATTGACCTTCTTTCTCCTGTAGTCACCGGTGGATTCAAACCACTGAAGAGATGCCACCTTTGGGTTAGCAGTACAACACTCAACAGACTATGCCACCAGAAATCTATCAGGAGATGAGTAGCCTGATTTAAAAAAAAAAAAAAGATGTTGGGGAAAGACAAGGAGGTGAACGAGCGTAAACAGGCCAAGAAGACAACATATCCTTTAAACATATGTGAGCTGAATTGAAAACACCTGCTCCAAGACAAGTGGGAAATTCAAGAGTGGCATGGATATCAAGAGGATATTAGCCAACAGACCTTGTCACCTCTCAGCTATAATAATATCAAGATTCTGCAGGAAAAAGTCCTAGCTTTTAATAGGCTCTGGGACCTGCTTAAGTATAAAGGAGTAAAGTGTCATGACAGATGATGAGTTCAAAACATTCAGTAAAAATATAGTCAGATAAGGTAAACCTAGTAAACATCCAATTGCTGAGTCTAGGTGCAGGGCATGTGGGTGTTCAAGCACTGCCCTAGTCTTTCAACATTTCTGAGTCTCAGGATTATTTTCAAAGGTCACAGGTAACAGAGGAAGGCAGAGAGCCCAGGCAGTGCCCAGAGTCATCAAATGTGCCCTCCTATCCCCTCTCATATCGCTTCACAGGCTCTGCGAAGCCAGAGAGCTTGGGACGTGGAGGGCAGAGAAGGCAGGGCAGTGAGGACAGCATTGGTCAGCCATGAGCAGACTGGCCTCCCTCTTGTACTTTTGGGTTTACATTCTGGCTTGTGATTGGTTAAAGAAAGGAATCCGAGGTTCAGTCTCTCAGAGAAGTCCCTGAAGGTTTTTCTCTTGACAGCAGGTGGTGAAAAGAGAAAAGCTGGAGAGTTCTCCAGCCTCCCAGGATTCACGAAGGAGTCCCTGCCCACTATGACAAACACACCACCAGATCCTGTCTCTTGCCTACGGGGACACTTGCCAGCTCCCCAATGCTCCTTTCTCAAGCTGCAAACTGTGTGCCAGGTACTGTGAGCCTTGCTTCCTGTTTATCTCACCCTGGATCTCCCCACAAGCTTGTGACAACCCCAATTGATGAACTGGCTAACAAGGCCTGTGGAGCTCACCATGTGAAGCTGGAGACCTCGCTGGGACCCCCAGAGCTTCACAATCCTCTATTTCCCCACCTGTCTGCACCTGCTATAAGCCTGAGGCACAGAACTTTCCCAAGAATGCACTGTCTCATGCCCCCAGGACTCTGCATATGCTGATCCCTCTTGGAGTCCCTCTTTCCAGAGGCAAGCTCTTCTTCCTGTTTGCTCCATCAAAGCCCAGCCCAGCACCAAGTGCTACACACCTGCTAGCACCAGCTGCAGTCAAGCTGACTCCAAGTTCACTCTGACTCCTGACAACCCTGAGATGTCAGAGAACTATGCCACAGGATTTCAGTGGCTGATTTCTTTGAAGTAAACCACAAAGCCTGTCTTCTGAGGCACTTCTGGGTAGACTTGAACTGCCAACCTTTGGGTTAGTCGCTGAGTATGTGAACTGATCACATCACCCAGGGAATTCCCTACACATTCAACAGATTCCAATCTGCTTTCAGTCAAGGGACAGACCCAGTTTTCAACTTGTGCCTCAGGATAACCTGTGATGGGATTCTGCAGAGCTCCTGTTCTACATCCAGAAAATGTCACAGAATCCACAAGAAAGCTTCTACTGTGAACAGAATTCAGTGATGTTACTGGGTACAATGTCAGCATATAAAACTCAAGTGGGTTTCTATATACCAACAAAAAACAGTCTGAAAAGGATATTAAGGAAACAGCTTTATTTACAATAGCATTTAAGTCAAGGAAATACTTAGAGTAAATTTAACTTGGGATATAAAAAGGTTTATACACTGGGAGCTCTGGTGGCCTAGTGGCAAGAAGCTGCACTGCAATCCCAGAGGAACACGGTTCGAATCCACCAGATGCTCTGCCGGAGAAGGAGGCGCAATATCCTCCTGTACCAGTCAGATCTGATTTGACGGTACACGCACAAAAATAATAATAAAGAAAAAAAAATCTTAAAAAAAAAGGTTTATACAATGAAAATTCTAAAATAATGATGCAAGAGACTGAAGACTAAATAAAAGTAAAGATATTTTGTTTTCATGGACTAGAAGTCTGTTAAAATCCTAAAACTACCCAAAGCGATCTCTAGATTCAACACAAGCTTACTCAAATTTCCAACAGGCTTTATTGCAAGGAGAAAAAGAAACTCCTAAAAAACAAACTCAAACAAGGCAATCAACAAAGTTATCTTAAAGAATAATAAAGCAGGATTCATAATTCCTCATTTCAAAATATACTACAAAGCTAAGGATACTAGTAGACACAGACTGATGGAAGAGATTTAAGAATACAGAAATAAACCAAACAGCTCTGGTCTACTGATTTTTTAAAAAGTGCTAAGTCCTTGTAAAAGCAAAAGAATAGTCGCTAACAAATTATACTGGGAAAACTGGATCTTCACAAGCAAAAGAACAAATATAGATCCATACCACCTACCACATGAAAATTAACGCAAAAAGGGATGAAGGACCTCAATGTAAAAACTACAACCATCAAAATCTTATAGAAGAAAATACACAGCATTGTTTCAGGACCTAGCTTTTAACAACGTATTTTCAGATTTGGCACTCGAAAGCAAAAGGAACAAAGAACTGATAAAATGGACTTTATGGAAATGGAAAACTTTTGTTCAACAAAACGAAGAAACAAGCTATAGACTGGAAGAAAATCTGGGAAACCAAGTGTCTGACAGCATTTAGGATCTAGAATATACAGGACATTCTTAGAATAAAAAAGGCAAATGACCCAATCGAAAAATACGGTTTGAAGACATTTCACTAGAGAAGACACATAAATCGCCCACAAGCACATGAAAAAATGCTCAGCATTAATAGCCACTAGGGAAATGCAACCAAAGGCATGAGCTATCACTTCACCCCTACCAAGATGATTAGTAAGATTTCAAGGAGGGCGGAGAAAGTTCCAGAACAGTGTTGGTGAGAATGTAGGAAACTGGAACTCTCATTCTCTGCTGGTAGGAGTGCAGAATAGTAAAGACGGCACAGCTGCTCAGTTCAAAGGCAGGCCCCGTCAAAGGCTCACCTCTCATCCGGAGAGTCGACATGGAAGGTCCGCTCAATGACTGTGGTCCACTGCAGGCAACGTATTACAAATGTGTTGGGCCGTGGCCTCTCCCTCTTCATCAACTGGCATTCTGTGGAAAGAGAGAAGAGAGGTAGAGTGAGAGGCAGCCCTGCCAGCCTGCAGCCCACATTTCCTAAGCATCTCCTTGTGCCCAGATGGCACTGGAGAACAAGAATGCTCCAGTCTGGCCCTCATGGGGCTCACAATCTAATGAGGGAAGGGAAGGGGTTAGAAACAGAGAGCGACTTTTCAGTACTTGAAAGGAATATGACAGGGGAAACCCAGAGGCATAAAGAAGCCCAAAAGCAGCACCCAGCCTAGCCTGAAGGGCAGGGAGGGCTTCCTGGAAGAAGGGGTACATCTGGATTGAGCTCTAAAGGAAAATAAAGAACTATCTAACAGAAGAATATACTATATACAGAAGACCAGAGTGAGAAAAGCTTGATTTATTCAGGAAATTATGCTAATTATGCTGTGAATATGAGAAGAAAGAAATAAGACTGTAGAGGTGGATGGGTCAGCCCAGGTAGAGCTCTGGAGGCCACAATGTGAAATCCAGACTCTTTGGAGGGCAGCAGAGAGCTGTGGATGGGTTTTGAGCAGGGGAGGGACACAAACAGATGTAGACAGATCCCTCTGAGTAAGACTGGGGTGGTGTCTAGGGAATAGGCTGGGCCAGGGACTCACTGTGACAGGATAGGACTGGGCCAGCAGGACAGAGACCATAATAGTGTGTTATGCTGGGGCCTGAGGGACAACTAGAGCTGACTCTGAGGTAGGAATAGAAGGCTGAAGAAGGGGACATAATGAGGCTAAGGGGCTCAGGGGACACCTATAAGAGATATCCAGGAAACCGCTCTTGGCTTCTGATAGGTTAGGAGTTCAGTGAGAGGGTGGGGCTGGAGATACTGGGGTAACCAATACCATGGGGACCAAAGAGATAACACCTTTATGCAGGATAAAGAGATTGAGCGACATTCTAGAGAAAGCCAAACTGAGAGTGGGGGATGGCCTTGAGGTGGAAGTCTAGGAAGCAGCAGGAGCAAAGGGTGGGGTGGTTGTCTGGAGATGGTCACTGAAGGGCTTCTAGGACTTGGTGACTAGTCATGTAAGTAGAGCAGGAAGGTGGCAGAGGGAAGGAGTGGGGAGTTAGACCATGATCCCAGGTCAGACAGTGGCTCTGTCAATTAGTCACTGTAGCCAAATACTGCACGTTGCTCAGCTTCATGACATGTTGTAAAAGGAAGATAAAATACCAGCTACTTTTGTGCCACTGCTCTGAGAACTAAGTGTAAGCATCAGTGTGAGGGCTTAGGAAGTACCTGGTACAAAGCGAGAGCTCACTAGAGAGGGGCTATTGTTTATCCTCGTGACCAACCTTCACCCTCAAGAAAACTACTAAGGGAGCTCAGTCAGGACCAGGTGTTGGGAGAAGTCAAGGGCTTGGGCCTGTGATGTTTTCATTAGGCTGCATCCAGTCAGAAATGCCCAAGAGGTCACTTCTGCCCCGAGGTGAGCTGGAGTGGAAAACAGACTCTTAAGCAGCAAGGTGAAGGGCTGTCTTCAGAGCCCAGAAGTGAGAGGCACCTACCACCAGCTAGAATCACAGGACCTCAGCTGGCAGGAGCTGGAACCATGAAGAAGTCTGGGTTTGAGTATGAAGGAAAAAAATCTGGCTTCTCCCTTCTACCTGTTCTATATCCCCTCTGTACAGAGCCAGGGGTGAGGGTGAGGGGTAGGCAGTGACATTGAGGCAGGGCAGAGCAGGGCAGGAATTAACCCAAGGGAAGCCAGGCTGAGGGTGGGATACCAGCTTTTCAAGAACAGTCAAGTCTCATGTACTCCCATGACTAGGCAGGCCACTCTCTGAGCACCCAACCCCGAATCTCATGATATTTCGCACCTGCGACAGAGAAGTTGTTCAAGGGGGGTAAGGTCTGGTCAGGGGTCTCTGGCCTCTCCTTGTAACCTATGAAGGAGCCGTCACTCTTCAGCAGGAAGTACCGGGGCCTCCAGGTCTTGATGTATTCACCTGAAACAAGGAGAGGTCAGGGCAAGGGTGGACCATTCCCGTGTGCAGGCAACGTGATGTGGAAAGGAAACAGAAGAGGACCATGGTGGGAAGAGAGGAGGCAAGTATCTGTCTCAGAGAACCCTGAGGTGGTCCCTCCTGACACAGGCCAGGGTGCTGGACTGGACTCAAGTGACCCAGGGTTGAGACTGGCAGGAAGATATCTGTGTAGGCCTCTGGTGCCAGTGGCCTCACCATGTGGCCAGTAGCATGCCCTTCTTGCTAGCACGTGGTTCAGTCCTGAGGGAGGCATAGGCTTCCAAACACACATGCCCTATGGCCTTGTAAGTTTGAACCCCAGGGAGGGGTTGTGGGAGGACAGGAACCTCAAGAGGCGGAGGGAGGGGAGCAGGAAAGCTCAAGCCAGGCCTGAGTTTCTCAGGTCCCAAATGCAGAGTCCCAGCTCCCAGCAGGGGCTGGTGTGTAGCAAGGCTGGGATCAAGTGTTCTAACACTTTTGTGCCAAGCCCTCAGAATGCCTTCTCAGCCCATCAGAGACCAGCAAGCCTCATTTTTGTTCTGTTTGTCCTGACTGGATAGGAGCTATGTTACTCAGAAAACACACACATACATTTGATCACTTACTCACAGTGCAATTATCCCCATCTACTTGTATGGTGCAAAAGAGAATGAAGAAAAACTCTCAACTGAGAAACTAGTCCAGTAAAAAGCACACATGAACCACACTGCCTCTAGAAGGCTAGATGGTGCCCGGCTGCCACTACTATCTTGACCAAGGGCAAAACAAAGTGGGAAAGAAAACTCACATTCCTAAAAGTAAGGTCAGCCATACTTGACGGAGAATAGAGGAATCACCAAGACTTCCACCCTAAGATACCTTCTGAACTCGGAATGTAAGCCATTTCTGTCACTTTAGCCATTCAGTCAAACAACAGATTAGTTTACAAAATAAACAGTATCATCCATGAGTAATATGCTCCCTTAAGAAATTAACTAGAAGAGACCAAAATTCAGCTTTTATCCAAAGGTAAAAATGAAAAGGCAAGAAGGGGAAAGGTTGCTAGATCAACAGAAACAGAACAAACAGAATGGAAACAATGAGAATGCTGACACACTGTAAAAACTGTAACCAATGGCATAGAACAATTTGTTTAACAACTGTAAAAAAGGGAATCTAATATGCTGCAAAAAATTTCACCTGAAACACAGTAAAAAAACTATTTTAATAAGATGGTGAAACACAAAAACACACATACAGAAATTAACAGACAATATTCACAGCACTGTGGGTACTATTCATAGTCAAAGGGTGGAAACTACCTAACTATCCATTAACTGATGGATGGATGGATGGATGGATGGATGGATGTTGTTTTTATGTGCCGTCCAGTCACTTGCGACTCATAGCGATCCTATGTACAACAGCCCTAAACTCTGCTCTGTCTTGTGCCAATCGCACTGTCTCTGACACTCCCATCCTGATCATCCCAGTCACTGAATCAATCCACCTCAAAGAGGGCCTTCCCCTCCTGCGCTGTCCCTCCACCCTCCCAAGCATGATGTCCTTCTCCAAGGATCCAAGGACGGGTCTCTTCTTACAATATGTCCAAAGTATGTTAAACGTAGCCTCAGAATCCTTCCTTCCAAAGAGCCACCCGGTTAAACCCTTTCCAGGATGAATCTGTTTTCCTAGCAGTCCATGGCACTCTCAATACTCTTCTCCAGCACCACAGCTCAAAGGCATCAATTCTCCTTCTGTCCTCCTGGGTCATTGTCCAACTCTCTGGTGCGTAACAAGTGATAACAAAGACCATGGCCTGTATCAGATGCACCTTAGTCTCCAGAGAGATACCATTGCTCTTCAGTACTTTGGAGAGGTCCCTGACAGCAGACTTTCCCATGGCAATGGTTAAATAAATTTTAAAAAATGCAGTAGATTCAATACATTCAATAGAATGTTAATAATCAATAGGAAGGAATGAAGTACTAATATAGGATAAACATGGATAGACATTGTAAGTGGAAAAAAAGCCAGTTGCAAAAGACCATAGATTGAGATGACTGGACGACTCCACCACAGGATAAAGACAGCCATGGAGTCACAGTCATCCACTTCAGCAGCTGTCCAGCCATTTCCCAACACTTCAGGGGGAAACCTCCTATAAGCACAAGCATTTATGTAGATCAAAGGTGCAAAGGACCAATGAAGAGAGTCCAAGGGAAATTGAGGGAAAAACCCACCCAAAAGCCTTCCTTCCACTCACCCGAGAAAGGCAAAGACGCCCAAAGCACATGCGCTCTATATCTACTACCACAAGTTTAACAAGAAGGGTAAGGTGAACCAGGCCAGCCGGGACCAAGAAGAGATGAGCAGAGCCACCTCCAACAGCTCCGAGAACACCTGGTGAGCCATCAGAGCAGGGCCATAGGCCCCGACTTTGAGGCCTCTGCTTGAGGTGAGGGGCTACCCACCTACACTGACCCTGGATTCCACCGGTGGGCTGGTTTCAAATCAAACAATGCATTGTGGAAAACAAACAAGACCATAGATTGCATAATGTGCATGAACTATCCAGAATAGGCAAATCTATGAAGCAGAACACAGATTAGTGGTTCCTGAGTGGGAAGGAAAACAGCAACACTGGGGATGATGGTGACAGTTAAAAGAGAAACAGAGTTTCTTTTGCAGGCAATAAAATGGGCTCAACTCTGCAATTTTAAATACCACTGACCGGGACATTTAAATAGCTAAAGTGAATTCTATGTAAATTTTATTTCAGGAAAATGGTTAAAAGAAATGGAAAACAGAACAGACTCGTAAATAATGAGGAAATAATGAGATGGTTCGTGATTTGTGACAAACGTAACCAATGTCACTACATTGACTGTGTAGAAACTATTGAGGTTAACCTACACAGCTAAGTCTACCATCACTGAAAACACAATAATTTTTTTTTTATAAAAGTACAACAACCATGAGGCAGCCCACCCAGGGCGCAGCACACAACAGGTGCTCCACAAAACCTCCACAAAGGTTCTTCATCACAGGCTACTACAAAAGCAAAGCTTGTGTCACCAGGCCCTGGGACTCACTCACACTCACACCTGGGAGTGTGGGTGTCCAGCTGTGTGACCTCTGAGAAATCACTTCCTTTCTCTGAGCCCTTGTGGGGATATCTTATCAAGAGTATATCTAAGTAAGTACTTTTGATGGTGATGATGATACAATGTTACTCGGATGTCCCAGGCACTATCCTAAATGCTTAATTAGATTAACTTATTAGATTCTTTCAAATGTAGATACTGAATATTCTATTTACATAAGGTTCAAAAACCAGCAAAATTCACCTATGCTGTCAGAAGTTAGAGGTGTGGCTACTATCCGGAGGGTGGGGGGTTCTGTGGGGCCATCATTCCATGTTTTCAACTATGTGCTGGCTGAATGGGGCTGAATTTACAATCCACCACTTGTCTCTGTGTATTTTAGCAAGAATAAGCTGGGGGGGGGGGCAAAGAAACCTAGGTAGAGAGAAAAACATCGTCCAGACAATCTGCGATAAGACACTATCAGAACCATCTCACAGACCAGGGCTCTGAGGAACAAGTGGTTCATCACTGGCCTAAGGCTCAGGGCTGGGAACCAGAAGAGCCAGGACTGAGATTCAGGTCTGCTCTGGGACCAGATCACGGTCTTACTCTTGACCATGAGCTGTCTGCCTCTAAACCAGCAGATAGTGTCAGATGGAGACCAGGCACAGGGCATTGTTGTTATCTGTTGTTATGTGCCATTGAGTCGCCTGTGACCCTATAGACAGCAGCCCTACACCCTGCTCTATCCTTTGCCAATCTTATTGTCTCTGACACACCCACCATCACCCCAGTCACTGAATCAATCCATCTCATCAATGGTCTTCCTCTCCCGCACTGTCCCTCCACCCTCCCAAGTATGACATCCCTCTCCAAGGACTGATACCATGTCCAAAGTATGTAAGACAAAGCTTCAGAATCCTTGTCTCCAAGGAGCAGCCTGGCTTCACCCTCTCCAGAACAAACTTGTTTGTTCTCCTAGCAGTCCATGGTATATTCAATACTCTTCTCCAGCACCACAGAACAAAGGCATCAATTCTCCTTTTGTCATCCCTAGTCATTGTCCAGATTTCCAACGCATAACAAGTAAAAGTAATTGCAAAGACCATGGCCTGTATCAAGCGCACTTTAGTCTCCAGACGGACATCGTTGCTCTTCAGTACTTTGGAGAGGTCCCTGACAGCAGTTTTTCCCAATGCAATTCATCTTTTTTAGGTGCCATCAAGTGGCTCCAACTCACAGCGACCCTGTGTGCAACAGAACAGAGCTGGTTCTGCACTTCAAAATGTTCCACTGAAGGCTGTAAGTGCAGTAAAACAGGGTGGGTGACCCCATTTAACAGTCCTGCTCTCGATATGCACTTTCGTGGGCAGAAGCAGCACAGGGGCCAGGCCATGCACACAGCTTCAGGAGTCAGAGGGCCTGAGAGCTGAGTGTAGCTCTGCCTGCCACCAGCTAGCTAAAATCCCGGGCAGGCAAGCCACCCAGGTGAGTCTCAGCTTCTTGAATGTAAGACCGTGCCTTGTAAGGTGTGAAAATTCAAAGAAATCGAGCTAGCCCAGAAGCCAGCACAGCACAGAGAGGGAACTAGGTAATCGGGAGTCACAATTATTACAACCAAGAGTGGAATAAGGAGAGGGGCAGAGAAGGGAAAGAACAGTATAGGTCCTCAAACAGATGCAGTCAGCACAGCCTGCTTGGCCTTGCCCACCTCTGCTCAGAATAAACAGCCGTGTTAAGGTGCAAACCAAAGGACCTGTGTCCTGGCCAGGCCACCCGAGCATGCAAGGGAAGCTGTGGCCCACTCATCCAGCTCTTTGTAACAAGAATAGAGATACTGAGGTCCTAAGAGGGGCAGAGACACATTCACATCAACACCAGGGCCCAGAACAAATATATTCCTGCCCCACAGTGCTCTGGCAGACTATAGGTTCCTAGTGAGTAGGCCTGGTCGGTCAGCACCTCAGACATTTCAGGCTGAGTGAGCAGAGCCTGAGAACCTTGTACAACAAAATCAATCACCTACACAACACTATTTACTCATTCCACAAACATTAATTGAGTGCTTGCTGTGTGCCAAGCACTTTTGACAGCACTGAGATTACAATGGCTAGTAAAAGCCCCAAACTCTGTGACACGAAGCTGGCATTGACCCATTTTATAGATGGGAAACCAAATACGGGGCTCTGAGAGGTGCTTGCAGCTTGCTCATGGTCACACCAAAGGAAGTGGTGGAGTCAGGGTTGGAACCTTAATATCTGTTGCGGTTCAGAGACTCCATCAATAGCCTCAAATTCAGGGCTCAGCGTGGGGGATGGAGGCCAGCCTGGAATGCTTTGCCTGCCTGGTAAGGACAGAAGAAAGGAGCTCCTCTGTTCAGTGAGATGGACAGGCCTGTTCCCAGGAAGTCACCTCAAATCCTGTACCTAGGGGCGGGGGTGTCTACATTATGGGAGAGGGCAGGAGGGGTTCCCAGAGTTCTACTGGGCTGGCCATATCTGCCTCTGTTTTGCTTCCTGTCCCTCAGGAATCAATGGCCATCCTTTGGCCCACGTGCTCTCTAACCATGTGTCTTCTACTCCCTCCTCACTGCTTCAGACCATTCTCCCTGATGTCCAACTTCCAACAGTGGCCCCCCACCTCATATCCTCCTCTGATCTCCGAAGCACCCCAATAGCATTCCTATCTTCATAAGGGCTTTCTGTCAAACCTGAGAGCAACACAAGCCTTGCCTGTGGTTCACTGCTGTGTCGTCAGGGCCTAGAACAATGCCTGGGACACAGGATGTTCTCAATAAATGTTTACTAGGTGAATGTAAGGGCACAAAGAACAGCTATCACTGAGCCTGGCAATCTCCCTCCACAAGGGGAGCGTCCATGAAAGTCACTGTCTCCTTCACTCTTAGGGGCTGGGGGACAAAGGTGACTGTCAGCTCAGGCTCCTGATTTCAGCCTGCTGCTGTCACACAGCAGCTTAGCAGCTCTGCACATGGCTCTGGGCACAGACCAGAGTCCTGGGGTTTGTAGCTCTTCCTTGCAGATGAGATCTCTTCTCCAGGCCTCAGTTGCTTCCTCTGTGCAGTAAGAGCGTCACACCCTGGCTGACAACATTCTAGGGCTTCCCACTAGCAGAGTCAGAGCTCAGCTCCTCTTGAGGCCTGCAGGGCCTCACCCCGAGTGATACACACTGTCCCTCGGCCTCTTCTCCTCCCTCCCGCCCACATTCACCCTGCTGTAGCCACACCAGCCAACTTGCTGTTCCTAGAATACATCGGACACACTCCCACCTCAGGCCCTTTGTCCTTGCTGTCCTCTCTTCCTGGGACAGCTTTGCTGAGCCATCTGGCTGGTTTTCTGACTCACCTACACAAGGACTCTGGTCAAGGACACCACTGACCCTGACTCCTCCATCTCTCTCTGTTTACTTTCATTCACCAGTTCATATTCTACATCTACTCTACTTATTTTTCCATTTTCTGTCTGTACCCCTTTGTCCTCACAGGAATGTAAGAGCACCACTATATTCTCAGAGACTTAGCTCACCACCATGCTCTCACTATGTAGCTTCACTTGTGTGACTTTTTTCGGAGCCTCATTTCTTCACACGCTGGATTTGGCAATGAGCTCACTCACTAACGCAGACAGAGAGCAAAAGGCTTGGTCCTTAGGCTCACACGGGTGGTCCAGACACTTGCCCAGGTGGAGACACTGCTTCCCAACCAATTCTAGTGAAATGGGTTACAAGTGCTTTGGCCCCGAGCCAGGCAGGTGGAGCTGTGGACTGCCGGTTCCTTGGCCAGCTGGTAAAGCCTTTGTCCCTCAGCCACTCAAGGAGCCAGCTGCCACAAGAGCCAAGTCAGAGAAGACAGACCAGTCAGTGGGCAAAAAGGGTCCTTACCACGCTTGTGAAGCCAGCCTTCTTTGATGACAGACACTTTGTTCATGGTGGCAGCGTGACACGCTGGCACCTAGCTCAGGTCAGTATGTGGCAGCAGGACATGCAGACAGTGTCATGGACAGAGCAGAGTCTGTAAGACAAGAGGGGAGTCAGTCAGAGAAGGAGGGAGCGTCACACCAGCCCTTTTCCTCTAACAGCCTGATTTCTGCAGCACTGTTTTGTGCTCTATATAGTGTGGAACTAGTGATGGTGCGGAAGACCTCAGCCCTCAGAGGACCTGCTGCCCTTTTTTGGAGGGCAGAAGAACAAACAAGACCCAGGTCTCAAGGTCACAGTCTGGGAGAAAAAGAGTTCCTAGAACATGCATAGATCAGACCTGGATATTTGTACTGAGGGGAGCTGGCTGGTCATCCACCCCAACTTCTGACTGGGAGGGTATCAGTGTGGCTTTAACTCCACCTCCACGTCACTCCCATGCCCCAGTGCTGAGGTAACCCAGGATGAATCAGACAGCCCTGGGCACCCAAGCTCAACACTACAGCATCTACCAACAGGCCTCCTCCCTCTGTGTGTGTGTATACATACACACTCACTCTCTCACTTTCTCTTTTCGAGAACAAGGAACCACCAATCTGCCACCTTCCAACTACCAACAAACCAACTACCTTCCTCCTCCCCCCATGTATTTCCCTCAGCTTCTGTCCCCCTCTGCCCCCACCTAATAAATGAGGGAAGACAGATACACCAGAATCTTAATACAAAAGCAGCCCACGGCGTCTGCACTTCCCTGGGGCCTAACAGTCCATTTTAAAGGCTCAGCCAAGGCCTATTCCTTCCCGGAAACCTCGGCTTCCGTCAGACTTGCACCCAACAAACTGAGAGACACCGGGGCTGCTGCTCTGTCTCAAGTTCCCAGAGCAGAGGAGAGAAGGTCACCAAGCGACTGCCAGCTGGGCCCCTACCTGGTGTGGCCGGCCTGGGCGTGGGACTTGCACCTTCCTGGCTGGGGGTTATTTGCGGACAGCAGGTCAGAAGCTACCACAACCCCTAGAGAAGTGGTAGCTGGTTCCAGGGACACCGTGGGCATCAGCTTTCTCTCGTGCCCCAGGGGAGCTGCTGAGCCGGACACGCTACTGCCTGGCATGTGATGGTGGCAAGCTGCCCGGCTGGGCAAAGGGAAGGGAGGTGAGTGGGAGGAAGCAAGAGGGAAGACAAGATGGACAGTGCTGGGAAGCAACTGGGGTAAGAAATCACACCAGGATTCTGAGCTGCCAAGGGGATCACTGCTGGGGCACCCTTCTGCCAGAGGCCCCGATACCTCAATTAGAGATCTTGATGCTAAATATCTTGTCAATTTGTATCTCGATCTATGTAACCACCTCTCTCCATCCTGTACCTCTTCTCCCCAGCCTGCAGCCTCTTTCACGTCCACCTTTCTCCCTGGTGCCCCCAACTCTACACTCACTCCCTCCAGCATGCCCCCAATTCCATGATTCGAGGGGTTCTAAAGACTAGCCCTGCCCACTCTTGGTTAAACCCTGCCGTATCTCCCCACCATGCTCCTATCATCCTTAGGGAAAGCGTGCAAATTCCTCACCTCTGAGAGGCTCTGTCAACCTCCTCCAGGACCTCTTCTACCTTACTGCTTGTGGGGCCCTGAACCTCCTTTCCCTCTTCCCCAGCTCAGGGCCCCCCCTGGACTCTCATCTTCTGCTCTTAACTCCATTAACCAAAACTCCATTTCAATCTTCCAAATCCTTCCTTTTTAAAGACTCTTCCATGGCTCCCTAGTTCCCTCACAACACAAAACAAATTCCTCCCCACCACAGTGAATGGCACTAAGAACCATAACAGCAATCACTCTCAAGTCGCCCCCTACCCTTACCACTTCTCTATTTCAGCCTCTATCATTCAGACCCTTCCTTCTGGCCTCTATCATTTGCAGATCTAGTGGGTTCTTCTCCAATCTGCTGGACCCTACTCCCTGGGCAGCTGTAATCTTCAAGAGCTGTAATCTTCAAGAAAAGAGCAGCTCAGCACAGCAGCTGGGTATCTGCTGAGAACACAAGGAACAAATCCAGGTCTCCTCTCTGGGCTGCCTGGGCCCAGATGCACCCACAAAAACATATCCAATCTATTCACCCCATCAAACTTCCTGGAGTTCTTGACACTGTCCTGGGTATGGGAGACGGAGCAGTCACTGAGAGACGGTGCCTGCCTTTCAGCAGCTCACACTCCAGCAAAGAGGCAGGTAATACCCCAACATACACAAGCATATCAGAGGGATGGATGGTAAGGGTGGAAAAGAAAATAAAACCGTAAAAACATGGCAAGAAATGGAGGTGCTGTTTGAGCCATGTTGTACAGGGGACATCTAAGCAGATGTATCTGAATTGAAAGAGGGAGGGAGCCATGCAGGCATCTGAGGGAAGAATTTCTGGCAGGGAAACAGCAAATGAAAGATCCTGAGGAAGAAGGAACTTGGTGAGTCTCTAGACCCGCCCAGAGGTCAGGGTGAGGGGGCAGAAAAGAACCCGTGGGTCCTGTGGACTTGTCTCCAAACATAATAATGGTGGGATTAATGGCAGTCCTCTCAGCCTGCTGTGCTCTCAAATCTATTTTTGTTTGAATTTGTACAGTAACATGAACTATTTGCCTTAACATGGTGTAGAGTATATCTTTTATATAAATACTTTGACACATTAAAATATCTTTAGCATGATACAATAATAAAAATGTTTTAAAGTGTGCTGCAAAATAGCAACCACTTGTTCTTATGAACCATTGCATACATGATGAATTTTTAATATAAAATACCTCACAGAAGTTGGTGGTTAACCACGGGTTGTGCCTAAGCAGGATATTTGACTGCCTGTGTTCCTTAAAGGGCCAGGAGGGAATCTCAGAATCCAGAGGCAGGGTGGTGTGAACAGTGTCTGGTGTCCCGTCTCAGATCACCCTCAGTGACTTCACTCCTCAAAGTCTCTGCGTCACGCAGAGCCAGGGCTGAACTCAGTGCTATGACACGTACTGTGAGCAGAGGGCACCTGGTAAACACGGGAACACATGGCTGTCAACATGACAAAGGCAACATGGAGAAAGGCAGTGCGATCAACAGTGGTCAGGGCTCCAGAGTCCAGGAGACACTGGGCAGCTGGGTGGCCTTGGGCAGGGTGCTGGCCACTTCCAAATGTCTCTCCTGAGCACATTTCCCTCACCTTCCCCCCACCCCAGGAGCCAAGACCACACATAGGTGACAGCAGAGGCTCAGAGAAGAGAAGCTATTTACCTGGGGTCGCCCAGCTGGGGAGTAGCAGAGAGAGGCCTTGGTCTCGATGCACCAGGGCTACCATTTTACAATCTTACTAAAGCGGCCACTGATAGCTGAGGCAAAGGCAGAAGGAGGAACTTGAAGATCCCCAGCGTCCCGGTGGATCATGCCCTGTCCTCCCACTGAGGGTGGCGCCTCTGCTGAGGTATCTGTGACGCAGCCCTGTGATGATGAAACACCTGCACCATAGCCAAGACCTGCTCCTGGGAGAGCCGCCAGCAGAGGACACCCAGGCCGGAGGAGAGGCTGCTTCTGGAGTCCAAGTGTCAGCATCCAGGAGCCTGATTCTGCCCCCAGCCTCCAGTCAGGGCACCCCTGAGGAGCAACTGCTAATGTGCTATGTTCCCACCTGCTACTTCCTAGTGCATCCTGAGTCAGCTGAAAGCCTGGGCCATGGCTGTAAGCTACAGGTAAGCCACCTGGGGGCAATGTGAGAGAACAAGGACACTTCCCAGGAGACATTCCCATGGAGACATTCATTCACTCAACCAAGAACATGCACTAATCTCATGTAAGAGAGAAATGCAATTAAACCATGTAATATTCATCAACTTCTATCAAGTTGAGTTCAACTCACTGTGACCCTCCATCTGGTTTGTGAGGCTGTAAATCTTTCCAGGAGGACACCAAACCAGCTTTCTACTTCAGAGCAGGTGGTAGATTTGAATCACTGACTTTCGGGTGAGCAGCACAACTCACAACACACTATGCCATCAGCGCTCCTTCACCAACCAATACAAAAATTCTAACTCGTTGCTGACCTGTCAGAACCCTCCAGTGAGTTTTCGGAAGCTGTGAATCACACAGAAGGAGACTAGTCATCTTTCTCCAGCATAGCCATAGGTGGATTTGAACTGCCGAAGAGACACAGCCTTTAGGTAAGCAGTACAACTCCCTACCCATAACACCAGCAAGTGACAGCTCCGTGCACCTCAGGGCAAAGGCAGGATGGAAAAGAGAAGAGGTTTTCTACTCCATGGTCTGGAGCTTGGGGGTGGGGGGGTCTTCCATAGGGAAGGAAAGCACTGGATCTCAGGCCAAAACCACAGTGCTCCTCAACCAGACTTACCAGAACACAGCAGGCTGGGAAGGCTGGTCCTCCCTCCTGGTGGTAAGGAGTCCTGAGGGGCTATCACTACACTGGCTGTTGAGCACTTGAGTATCTCAGACTTACTCTTTCTTTATATCTCAAACACTTCATTTGTCTGAGTTTTGCAAATTCTCTTACAATGACCTTGAAACTGGCCCTCTCAGAAGCTCTGTCTCACAAGGTAGGGGTCAGATTCATGAGGACTTACATGGCTCGTCTAGCAGCCTGGGGCAGAGGGAACTAAAGAGGCCCTGCGCTGCTCACTTCATCCTATCCTGTCAAGAAGCTGGGAAGGGTCTGGACCCTCTGAGGCTCCTTTTAATCCTTTGTAAATTGAGGGTCACTACGGTCCTTGCCTCCCAGGAAGTCGGTCTGAGGATCCCTGAACACTCAGAGCTCACTCCTACTTAGGTGCTTCTGAGGTCAGTACTGTCCTCCATACCTCTCCAAACTCCGTGACACCTGTATCCTGCCACTGCTCTAACATAGAGGTCTAGCCCTCTTACTTCAGGGTCCTTGCACATGCTGTTCCTCCTTCAGGTAGGCTCTCAGCCCAGGTATCCACAGGGCATACCTGGCTTGTGTCTGCCTCTGCTCATACTACCTGCCTTGGAAAGCTGTCTCTCATCACCCTAAATAAAACTGCACTCCACTTTTTCTCTTTACACTTAATTTTTCTCCACAAGTACTCAATCACCACTAATAGCAC